CTCTCCATTGTCGTTTTCTAATAGAATTTTTTTATTTCCGTCTTGATTTCTTCATTATGAAGTAATCATTTAGTAGGAGGTTGTTTAATTTCCAGTTTTTGTGTAGAAATGTGAGTTTCTGTTAGGGTTGATTTCTACTTTTATTCCACTGTGATCTGAGAAGGTACATGGTATGATTTCTATTTTTTAAATTCTTGAGATTTACTTGTGTCCTAGGATATGGTCAATCTTAGAGAATGTCCCGTGAGCTGATGAGAAAAGTATATTCAGGATTTTGGGTAGAATGTTCTGTAGATGTCTGTCAGACCCAATTGTTCTAGGTTTTAAGCCCATTATTCTCTATTAATTTCTGTTTGGATCTGTCTCATCCCATCTCGTGCCGTCAGTTGGGTGTTGAAATCTCCGGTGATTATGGAGTTGCTATTAATCCATTTGCTTAGCTCCAGTAAGGTTTGCTTTCTAAATCTGTGCACCTAAGTTGGGTGCATATATATTTAAAATTGTTATCTCTTCTGTTGAACTGTGCCCTTCACCATCATATAATGACCCTCTTTGTCTTTCACTACTTTTGCTGTTTAAAACTAAATCGTCTGAAATTAGAACTGCCACGCCAGCCTTCTTGGTGTCTATTAGCTTGGAATATTGATCTCCACCCTTTATTTTTAGTCTATATGCATCCTTGCATGTTAGATGTGTTTCCTGAAGACGCAGGGCACACACAGCCTGGAGGCCTGGCTGGTTGTGATCGCGGTGGACGTGGCACGAAGGAACCGGTGCATTCCCCGAGACGGCCGGCACTCGCTACCGGGGTGGACAATACACACACAGGGTAGACACCAACAAAGCACCGAACACACACACCCAACACACATAAACACAGCGACCCCGTGATGAGCACAGGGTGAGCAAGTGGGATGGTGGTCACAAGGAAAAACCAACACCCACCCTTCCACTACACCGTGACGCAGTGTTAATGAGAGGATTGCTGTAACTGCTTACCTCCTCCTCTTCCTCGGGGAAGGTTGCACGGCCAGGGCGTGCTGTGAATCACCACCACGTTGTGACTCTTAGTGTTGGGTGGAAGGAGGCTGGACACAGCCGGTGACAGACCCCCGGAGGGAGCCACAGCACACACCAGCCACAACACCCACCCCCACCCCAGAGCTAAGGGGAGGAGAAGGGAGAGGCCTTAGGCCAAGCCTTCCTCTACACTCACACCATACACACACCCTCGGGTGCGATGAGGCGGGGGTCCAACTAAAAGGGTATTGGGGGACGCCTAGGAGTTTAGGACACGTTTCAAGTAACTGTCTCTCCCCAGAGTAGACTGACAAGGACAGGTTAGGGTGATACGGACAGGTAAAGTCACCAACCCGGGGAACTGGCATCATATATGTCCCCAGAGGAATGGCAGATCTGAGCCCCCAAGCCAGCAGAACTCATCTCCCCCCACCCGCAAATGGAATCCTGGAACTGCTCTGAAGTAAACTACTCTCTCAGGCGTAGAGAGGATGGCTGGCGCGCGCCAATCAGCGCCTGAGAACCACGGAGGGGCGGGGCTCCTGGAGACACCTGGCTTGTTCCCCCGGTAGCGATTTCTAGCCTGTCTTCGGATACAGCCGGCGGGCCTGAGGTCCGGAGCCAGAATGTGGGGCTTGTTCTTTGTGGCTACGACATTACAGGATAGTGTGTAATCCGTTCGTTATGTAATCTTGCGCAATGGTCCGCTCATACTTTTTCCACGTTGGATGTGTTCATTTTATTCCATGAGAAATTCATAAGGTTATCATTTCTCTTTATCACATTTGTTATGTTGGGTTGATTTTATTGTTGTGGCTGTTCACAATGGTGTTATCGTTGACCTAGAACTGCCGATAATACGAGTCGGTGTGGAAGTGGTAACGCTCCATAACAGACTGAGCTCCGTGCCCTGTGAGAGCCTGAGGATCCCGATCCCGCAGACGGCCTTCGCGAACCCATTGAGTCGCGAAGAATCTGGATACTTTGCTTCCTAATGTTACCCAAAAAAAAAATAGAAAGAAATTTGGCCAAGCAACTAAAAATATAAAAAATTAGCCTGGCATAGTGGTGTGTAACTGTGGACCCAGCTACTTGGGCGGGTGAGGCAGGAAGATCACTTGAGCCCTGGAGTTTGAGGTTGCTGTGAGCTAAGCTGACGCCATAGCACTCTAGCCTGGGCAACAGAGTGAGACTCTGTCTCAAAAAAAAGAAACAAAGAATATTTAGTAAGATTATATGCTAAAATATTTATTTTTATATGTTACATGTTTATATATTTTTAAAATTCTACATGAGAAATTTCTAAAGGCAAAAATAGACTAATCTTTAAGAAAATTTTATATGGAATCAATTGCACAAAATATTTTTAAATGACCATTTAGTTTTCAACTGATTCCAAAATGGTTGAGAGAAAATAATAATGCCTCCTTTCTATATGAAGAGAGAATGACAAAGCAAATGTAACAAAATGTTGAGAACTGAGAAATGAGTGAAGAGAATGTAAGGTTTTTTGGTCTATTCTCAAAACCATTTTGTAAGTTTGAAATTATTTTATAATAACGTTTTTTTAAAAGACCACTTACATAACAATGGGAGATTTTTCTTTGGTTTTTTGTTTTGTTTTGTTTTTGTTTTTCACCTATGACAAGGTTTCCAAGTTCTATCTGATGTTAAGAATTACATCAAGGAAATTCCTCAATGCAGGTTCTCAGAACGGACTCCAACCTACTAAACTAGAATCTTTAGAGAAGAAGTCTAGGCATGTTAGCATCAGGTATCTGTTATGATATGGCAGGTTTAGAAAACATTACCTGGTGACCTGACAATAAGATTTTGAAATATAAAACAAAATGAAAGAAAAATTAAAATAAAATAATATTTTAAAAATAAAATAAACCAGGCAATACTCAGTATTGGTGATATATGAGAAAATGGGAATGTTCATACATCATAGACACTAAATTTGGACAATATTTTTCTAGACTGATTTCTATAACAATGAAAAACATTCACATTTATATACAACAATGACAGTTCTAGGAATTTAAAACTCTGATATTAGTACCAAACTTCTATGTACACAGAAGTTCAATCAGCATCTCCTATAATAGTGAAAATTACAAACAGCCCAAATGTCCATAAAAACAGAAATGAATGTGTATTATCTTTGTTTTGAAGGGAAATACTTGGACCGATTTAGAGTAAAACGGTATATTTCTTGGGGTGTGGGTGACACTGATATTATCCTTCTATCTTATCTCTATTTTGTAATTTTGCTCATGGCTTTTTCTGGCACCTTGGGATCTTGCTTAGACCAGGCTTAGGACAACCTAGAAGTGCCGGAGATTTTAACATACCAGGGTAACATCCACCAATAAAGGACCCAAGTCTGAGAACAGATACCCCAGCTTCCCATCACTAGCTGGGATGATTCTGAGGAGCATTATATACTGACTTAGAGGGTCCCCAGCATGATTGAGCTGATTGACTTTTGGTCATGTCAGTCTCTGGGGATATATGTTTAAAGAACTTTTCCATCTGAAGATTATATACAAAATAACATATCATGTTCTATTTTAATGGTTTTATGTCTTTTTATCTAAACATTTAGTGTCTATATTTTAAGTATATGAGAGTAAGAAGACACTTCATTAGTTTTCAAAATAGCCAATTATCCTGGCACCATTTCTTAAATAATTCTAACCTTTCCCCACTGATTCAGAATATTTCAGTCAGCTTAGTAGCCTTTCTCCATATTTGGATTTGACAATTGGCTTTCTCTTTTGGTTGATTTGTTCTACATTTATTCGGGTATAATATTGTAGTTTATATTCGGGTTTAATATTGTAGTTTCATAATACTTTTCATCTGTCAGGGTAGCTGCCTCAAATTAGTGTTCTGAATTATTGGAAGACTTCACTGGTGTTCTACTTCAGAGAGGAAGCTGGAGTGTTATTGTAAGGTGAAGTTACGCTAATACAATTTAGAGGAGATCATCGGTTTGTCACAGTCTTTCAAGATCTGAAAATCCACCAGCCAAGCTTTATTAGACTCAGCGTATTATCTCATGGAAGGACACACTGATAGAGACCCTTCACAAGGGGAACTACTGGCTAAGGTTTACATTTCAACGTCCTTAAAGGGGGGAGGGGCGTACCGTCTGGAGGGTCTATATTTATAATATGATTCAGCAGCAGAAACAGGTTGCCATGTTTTTACAACTCGAACCTTATTTTCTCAATTAAATAATTATGTTGTCTCGTTAGAACATCGAAAAATGAATATATGGTGATAGGAGACAAAATGAAAACAACCATCTCCTCTCAACCTCAAAAAGAAAAAAAAAAAGAAAGTAAGTAAAATAAGGTGAAAAAAATTAAATGCTACTTTCTACCTATTTTCTAGACTTCCTAGCCTCGTGCTCTTCACCCCACACCCGGTTTCCAATCTGGGACAAAACCTACAAGACTTTTAGTGTAAATTCTGGGTTTTACTTGCTGGGAACTGAAGAGGAGAGAAGTCGGCGTTTAGGATTACAAAAGAGGAAGAACTAATATTTTTAAAGCTCCAGCACAAACCAGGAAAAGACAAATACAAACGACAAAATATTATGTGGCCCGTTTGGTTTTAGGGATCGCTAAATAAGAAAAAAATAGAGGGGTGTGCAGTAGCCTGCCGTAGTGGTGGAGAAGGCAAGAATGAAAAAGGTGGCCCCGCCCATGCACTCGCCCCCACCCTCCTGCCGCACTGCAGGTGTGAATGGTAATTGGGAATCTGAGCTCACAGTGACGTGGCCCTTACCAGACCCAAAGCCAAGCGTGGATTGGTCTCTCCTGGTTGCGGTCTGGTAGTCGTTGGTGACTGTGCGCCGGCTAGTTATTGCCCTGAAGGGGGACGAGCCGGCTGCCCAGGAAAGGAGGAAAGTGATAGAAGCTGACCTCTATCCGATCCGTGGCAGGTTGGTGGGCGCTGACTGGGGTGGGGATGGCAGAATGCAAAGACCAGAGCGGGTACAAGATTGGATTATCTACCCCTTCCTTCCCCAACACCCACCGTTTCGTGCAAGAAATGGAGGGCTTACGCGGAGGATCTCTAGAGGGGACCCGGGTTGTGAAGGGGTGCCAGTAGGAATCTCCTAAGAAAGGAGCTATCGGGTAATGTCTGATGGAGTGGGGCCGCGGGAGGGCATGGCGAGGAAAAGGCCTGATTCCTGCAGGGCCGCGGGAGTGGATGCAGCTGCGGACTAGCCAGTGAGGAAGACGGGCCCTGCCACGGTTTTAGGCCTGCGTTCCTGGTATCTTTTCTTCGCCTTCAGTCCCTTTGGAGCCGGAAATGGTGGGCTGTGGGGGCCAGGAAGAGGAATTGCTGCAGAGGACAGGAACAGGGATTAGGTCTGGGAAGCAGGTTCCTATGGCGGCGGTTGAGCAGCGAGTGGAGCTTTTGACTGAGGGATAGAGGCGGGGAGCGAGAAACGGTTTCTCCTCCCTGCAGGTCGGTGTAAGCTTGGGACCCTGGGATAAGAATGACAAAGCGCTTACATCACAGCGGGGCCTGGTATGCAGTACCCACACACCTTTTCGCCCATCCACCATCTTGATGCACAAAATGGTGGGCAAGGGAGGGAGTGGGCTGGAGAGAGGGCAGTGAGTTCCATAGGGGCTTGGGGGATAGCCAGATTGAAATTCTTTGTAAACTACGCCTCCACCCAACAAGATCTTCTAACTACCCCGCCCCGCAAGTTGTCCATCAACGTTCAAGAAATGGTAATTAAGTGACCATTTAGGAGTAGGAGGAGACAGTGGGGATAGGGGTCCTAAAGAAGAGGTTAAGATGGTTTGGAAATAATTACCTTTGATTACAGTGCCTGTTTCTGGAAGGTGGAGTAGCCTGTCACAGGTGAGAAAAGAAGCTGTGAGACAAGGTGGAGGAGAAACAGAAGGTGGTGACGCTTGACTAGGAGAGCACTAAATCAACAACGGACCTGGTGCTCCCAGTACCAGCCCTTTAATCAAGTGATCAGTTCTGGCCATTGTCATATTTTTGTCTGCAGGTCTTTAAGTGCGTTGGCGTAGCAGATTTCAAGGCTGAGAGAAAGACTGCCTTTGATCCCTGCAGGTAGGAAGTTCCCTGAGGCACTGTGATGTAGGAGTATCAGGGATTCAAGCAGAATCTGGGGGACTCACAGCCCCCCCCGTCCGAGTTAAGTGCAGAAGAAACCTGGCAGAGTCTGAACAAAACAACGAACCTGTGGCTGGTGAAGGAAGGAGGGAGTAAAAGGGCGAGGTCTAGTGCGCCCCTTGAGGGCTTATCAGTATCCCCAGGAGGTTAGGCCTGGTCTCTCAAATGCTGCCCCGCCTACCACCTGTCATACATTTTGGTGGAGGAAGTGGCCTGGGAAAGGATTTTCAGGGAAAATGGTGAGCTTTAGGGTAAGGCTGGGTTGGGGCGCCCCCTAGAGGGTGAACGAAGTTTCCCAGGTAGGAAAACTTGCCAGACAGACCTCTGATTCCTGTATCAATCACTTTTCTTGCTTTTTATCTCCTAGGAGGAAGAAACGGGGGGAAAACCCCTCAACATGGAAAACGCCCCGCAGGAAAACAAAGTTGGGGAGAAAGCCCCAGTGCAGAATGAAGAAGCAGCACGTCCTTTGGAAGGTGGTGAAGGCCAGGAGCCTGGAGGAAATATTAGAGGGGATTGGGTTCCACCTGCACAGGATTTTGGAGAGGAAGTGCCTAATAGGCTTGTCAATAACATTGATATGATAGATGGAGATGCAGATGATATGGAACGGTTCATGGAGGAGATGAGAGAGCTAAGGAGGAAAATTAGGGAGCTTCAGTTGAGGTACAGTCTGCGTATTCTTATAGGGGACCCCCCTCACCATGATCATCATGATGAATTTTGCCTTATGCCTTGAATCTTAAGGTTAATAATTATAAGCCCCCTGCTTTCCAAACTTGTACTTCCCTGGTATAACTTTAGTGTGAATCTTTTGGTGTTCTGCCATTTTCTGATTGAAGATTTCATTTTGACCTAGTCTGTAAGGTTTTTTGTCAGCAGGGGAGTTTCATCAACTTGCATGGAAAGATGTTTACTACATGTTGTAAAGTTAATAAAGCAATTTAAAAAGTACTCTATAGGTGTACTATCTCATTTTAAAGCATGCATATTTTTACTATATATAAAATATATACAAAATATATATATATATTAAAACCAGAATATGTTTTTTTCTATGTAGTATAGTGATTGGTACTTTTTAATTTATTTTTTCTTGATTATCTGTTTTTCTCATTTTTCCAAAATGAATATTGTGTTTTACATGTGTCCAAAAACAGGAAACTAGGAAACTGCCAATCAGCTTATAAATGGAATGGGGGCAATTAAGAAATACTTAAAACACAATTTAAAGACATAAAAATCTTGTATTACCTCTGGATTTTTTATTTAAAAGCACAAATCTGGTAATTATTATAGATACATTTCCTTAAAGTCAGCCTATTATGTTTAAAATGAGGATAATATATGCCTTACAGGGCTGCTGTTGGAATCAAATGAGGTAATGAGTGAACCCTGTGTCTGGCTGTATCCACACATGCAAAGCCCCAACCCTCTAGGTGCCTTTCATTTGGGGGGAAGGTTCCAAAAGGTGTGCCTACCAGAAAATCCAATCAACAGTCACATGGGTACAGGTTGAGTATCCCTTACACAAAATGCTCTCAGCAAATTGGTTTCACTGATCAACACCTAAATGCACATACAGGAATAACATTTATCAGGTGTTGGGCAGATTGGAGGGGGGAGGAGGGGATGAGTATTACATAATGAGATATCTTGGCGCACAATCTGGGACAAGCATCCTCAAACTATGGCCAGTGAGCTGCATGTGGCCTGCCGGGTGTTTTTGCCACCGCTACCTGTCCTGCTTAGCAGCCGACTCGTCCCGGGCCCACAGTGCGCATGTGTGGAATGTGTGCCACACTCTCCAACAGCCCTCCAACGGTCTGAGGGACAGTGAACTGGCCCCCTGTTTAAAAAGTTTGAGGACCCCTGATCTGGGGGATGGACACGCTTGAAGCTCTGAGGGGGGGGGGAAGAGCAATTTACATAACCTAAACATACCCCCATAATATGCAGAAATAAAAAATGCTTGGGACCAGTGTTTCTCATTTTGGATCTTTTCAAATTTGGGAATATTTGCAATATACATAATGACATATCTTGTGGATGGGACCCAAGTCTAAGGATGAAATTTATTTAACTTTTATATACACCTTATACCTATAGCCTGAAAGTAATTTTATACAATGTTTTAAATAATTTTGTACATGAAACAAAGTTTGTGTACATCAGGTCAGCTGTGAAATTTTCCATTTATGGCATCATGTCATGTTCAAAATGTTTTGGAGTTTGGAGCACTTCAGATTTGGGATTTCCTATTACTCTGCTGTTCTGCCTTCCTTTTGTAGACAATGCCGTGAATATCAGGTATTTCTTCCCTTTCTGCTTCCTCCACTGGCCTCCACTACTGCTGATATGCTAGACTCCTAAAGGTGACAAAAACCCACTGATTTCTCTGGAATCCTCAGTGGTTTGAATCTGCGTTTTATCCTTTCATAAATGTAAAGAATGCCCCTCCCTGCTTTAGAGTTATACCAGGTTTAAATGGTTTAAGTATACTTTACCAGTGCTGCTTAGGGATGCAAATAGGCCTTTATGGTTTTCTCACACTTCCTTTCTCATCCTCCCCTAGACAAATCTGAGTGACTATGCTCAGAATTGGACTATCCCTTCCGTCCTCTGATGAATATGGCCCAGTCTCCTTGACTCTCCATTCTCTGTGAAAACAGTGCTACAGGTTTCACTCTGTACATACACATGTGTTCTAGGAGCGACTTTATATCTCCAAGATTGTTCTGAGTCACACCATCCTCACCCCTGGAGTCCCCAGTAGCCTTTATTCACACTAACCAACACTCCATCCAGAGGAGTTTCCCTCTTTCTTTGCTTCAAGATTTGCTGTGCCAAATAAACCTGTACTCAAACACTGATGAGAACTAATGGATGAGACTGGGGACCTAGTAGGTAGATCCTGGTTTTAGAACATTTTCCACAGTCATCACTGCTCCTCACTAGACTGTGCCCTTCTCATAATAAATATTTTGTCTCATTTATCCTGGTACTCTCAGTGTTTACCACAGGGCCTGGTAAGTTGTAAGGCACAACAGTTAATTACAGCTGAGTCAATAGTCCTGCAATCTAGACTCAGGTTTGCCTCTGATCATTTATGGGCAAGTAACTGCTTTTTCCTACAGACTGCAATTTCCAATTTAAAAAGGAACGCAGCAGAGAAAGTATCATACACCAATTTCAACACATAGACTTATCATAGTATTATAAATGTCAGTGTTTATCAGCATGTGCTATATAGACCAGCTGCATTAAAATCACCTAAAGAACTGGCTAAAAAATCAGAAAACTGTTTCATTCTACACCCACCGCATTCTAGTTAATCAAGACATCGCTGGACTTACATAAATTAAAGTGGAGACCCCAGCTTTAGTTTAAGTTTGGACACTCCCTTCCCCATCACATATTATGTACAGAAAGATAGATGATAAATAAACAGTTAGTTGGATAGATCTAAGACCTGTGAAAGCACTGTATAAGACCTTAATTAATCTACTTACACAAGGCATTATTTCCCCACTAGTCTGTGCTCTTCTTTAAAAGACAACTGTCTTTTGCTTTTTAATGTTCGTGTCTTTAGTGCATAAGTTCTCAACCATGGCTGCAGATTTGAGTCACCTGAGAAAATTTTAAAGTGCAGCTCAGGACCCACTTCTAATCAATTGAATCACACTCATTAAAGGTGAGACCAAGGGATCATTACAGTGTAAAAGATCCCATGGTCATTCTTATATACATGTGGAGTTGAGGATAACTGAGTGAAATTTGTGGCTAAAATATATTTGGTTTATTTTCTCCACACTACCTCTGACTGCAACACTAAGCAAGTCAGTTCATTTATCTATAATTTATATCTTGTGAAAGAAATACCACAAAGGAGAAATTGTACTCCAAAATCAGCACATGAGATTCTTTTAAGATAATATATGCCAGTGTTCCTCCAAATTTGCTAGCCTATCAAATACTTCAGAATTCCATGTGGAGCTTGTTTAAAATACAGAATTCTGGCACCACACCCAAAATTCACTCTTCGTCAATGGTGCTCAGGTAATTACATTGTTAACAAGCTCACAGACGGTTCTGTTGCACACTAGAGTTTGAGGATTACTTGTGCACACATTTTTTACCTTGAGTATATTAAGGACAAACCAATAAGGTAACTAAAAATAGAGATAAATGTTAGTCTGAATTCAGGGAAAAGATCATCAAGGAGAAGAGTTATATGAACACCAAAAAATAATAAAAAGATTAAATCATCAAAAGAAAGACTGACATTCACTATGTAAAACATATTAGATCTTCTGTAAAGTAAAACTGTAAATGGGAATGTAAATTAGTAAATGGGAAGACTGTTGATGGGAATGTAAATTAGTACAGCCATTATGGACAACAGTATGGAGGTTCCTCAAAAAATGAAAAATATAACTATTATATGATCCAACAATCCTACTACTGAATATATATCCCAAATAAATGAAATTATTATGTTGAATAGAGATGTACATTCCCATGTTTACTGCACCATTATTCACAATAACCAAGATCTGGAATCAACATAAGTGTCCATCAACAGATAATGGATAAAAATGTAGTATATACACACAATGGAATACTGTTCAGCCATAAGAAATGAAGTCCTGTCATTCACAACAGCATGGATTAATTTAGGGGGCATTATGTTAAATGAAATAAGCCAAGCACAGATGGACAAATACCACATGATCTCACTCATATGTGGTACCTGAAAAAGTTGATCTCATAGAAATATAGAGTAGAAGGCTGGCAAAAGTAGGGGTCAATGGATGGGGAGAGGTTGTTCAACATTCTTCTCAAGTATACACAGAACATTCTCCAGGATAAATCGTATGTTCTGCCACAAGAGAAATCTTAACAAATTTAAGGAGATTAAAATGATATGGACTAAGTTTTCTAACCACAGTGGTATGAAACTAGAAATCAGTAATAGGAGGAATTTGGAAAATTTACAAACATGGAAATTAAACAATATATGCCTGAACAACCAATGAATGAAAGAAGAAATTAAAGGGAATATTTAAAAATATTTTGAGAGAAGCTAAAATGGAAACACAGCATACCAAAACTTATGGGATGGAGCATAAGCAGTTCTAACAGGGAAGTTTATAGCAATAAATGTCTGCATCAATTTTTTTAAAAGATCTGAAATAAACAATCTAACATTACACCTTAAGGAACTAGAAAAAGAAGAATAAACTCAGCCAAAGGTTAGTTAAAGGAAGGAAATAATAAATATCAGAGCAGAAATAAATGAAATAGAGACTAGAAAAAACAATGGGACAATAGGAAAGATCATCAAAACTAAGATTGGCTTTTTAAAAAAGATAAACCAAATTGACAAACCTTCAGCTAAACTAAGGAAAAAAGAAAGAAGATTCAAACAAAATCAGTAATGAAAGCAGAGATGTTATAACTTATATCACAGAAATACAAATGATAATAATAGACTACTATTAATCAACAAATTAAATAACCTAGAAGAAATTAATAAATTCCTAAATTTATACAACTTACCAAGTACTTTACCATGACTGAAAAATTAACAAATAGAAAACCTGAACAGACAAACAATGAGAAAAGATACTGAATCAGTAATAAAATTCACCCATAAAATAAGCCCAAGACCTGATGGCTTCTTTGCTGAATTCTACCAAATATTTAAAGAAGAACGAATGAAAATCCTTCTCAGACTCTTCCAAAAAATGAAGAGGTGGGAATACTTTCAAACTCATCTTAGGAGATCAGCATTACACATATACTAATGCCAGACAATGGCACTACAATAAAAGAAAATACACTAATATCTCTGATGAACATGGATGTAAAAATCATCAAAAATCCTAGAAAACTGAATTCAATAGTACATTAAAAGAATCATACACCATGATCAAGTGGGATTTATTCTGTAC